TTTTTGCTCTTACATATACCAGACTGTGACGGCCCAGGGCAATTCCTGCATGATAGCTCCATGGACCTATCGGTCGGCCCGTGCACGGTCCTCCAGGTAGATAGACCCGCCGTCGATCCCTCCAAATTAACGGACGGTCGACTGTCATCTCGTTTTCTCTCTGATAGTATCATGGACCTGTAGGGGTGATAATTGAGGGGAGCAGAAAGATGATATATCGGAAAGACCGGCCCGCAGGGCCCGTATGCGCGAGGGCCGGATATTCCTCGTGCGGGGTCACGTGCAGTGTGGCCGCCTATCTAATCGATCGCTGCGATCGAGAACTTCTGCTGGATACAAGAGACCCTACAGGCCGTGACAGATAGGTACCCTATACGGGCGCACTCCGCGCACCGCGCGCACCGCACGCATATCACTGCACGCCTGGGGCATCCATGGATCACGGGGCTCAGGGCATCGCACGTGACATGAGGTATTGTACCACCTTTTCTCTCGCACCGCGCCTCTCTTCCTTTCCCCTCCCTAGAAGAGTCTTCGTCCATAGCATCAATTGAACCTGGCCGCGAAGCCTATCCTCCGTGATCGTGACACCAGACCCCTAGTCGCTGCGCGACCATGGCAGTACATCGTAGATATAAGCAGGCAATTGCAAATAAAAAGCTTTGGCTACATCTGTTAATTCGTCATTGTCACAGGCCTGCAGAACGACCACAAGTAATCCTACCAAGTAGTGTGACAGGAAAACAGTGCGTTGATAGGATCTATTGGGTGCTTATCTAGATCTCTGAGGAGAGAAGGAAATTAGTGCACAAGGCCGTAGGCCCTGCGTGCTTTATATACACAAAAGGGATCTCTCCTCTGTAGGCGCGGTATCCATTACCGCGCTCCCGTCATCGCATTTGGGTGCTTATCAAGCATATGGCGTGCGTGGCCTGTGGCGAGTGATCGGCGCCCTCGGCGAGTGACCGGCGCCCTCGGCGAGTGGTCGGCGCCCATGACGCGCACTCGGCACCCCGGCGCCGTGCGCCAAGCCCTCCATGACGCCTCCTTTGTGACAAGTAGACCTTAAGTCGAGGCACCCCCAGTCGGAACACCCCCACTGACGGAACGCCCTTTCACATACAAACTGCTAAAAATCCCGGATGCAATTGTTTGCTTTTTCAAAATTGCGGTAAGGTTTTTAAATTGGAGCGTAAGGTACGGGCTATTTAATTTTATACTAAAAGCTTTACCGTTTGCATTTAAATAAACCCAAACCATTAAATTAATGGCACGAATTAAAAGCGGCATAATTTGTACAAAGAATAGCGGGCCCAGCGTTTTGTTAGCGTTAAAAACAACAAGCATTAAAATGCAAAAACCGCTCGAAAAAAGCTTAATTATTACCAGCACAATCCTTTATCGGGATTTTGGTTTAAAAATAACGTACCGCACGCCGGCGATACGCAAGCGGTAAGTTAAAATTAACGCGAAAAAACGGAGCCGTAGCGCTAAACCATTGCTGCGCGTTAAAGCGTGCAAAAAATAAATACGCGCCCGGAAATACCCAAGCGTTGCGTTAGCCAAACCTTAAAACCAAATTAAAAAAAAAAACCAAACGCCGCGTTTAAGCATTATTATTTTTAAACCCCGAAAAATTATTTTTTAAAAATAATAACGAATTGTTAACGGTTTATTTGCCGTTACCCGTTTTTATTACAACGATTTTTTCTATTTCGTTTTTCGAAAACGATAACAATAACGAATTGTTAACAATTTGCCCGCCGTTACCCGCTTTTATTACAATAAGCTTTTTTACCCCGTTTTTTAAAAACGATAATAACGAAAAAAAAAGTTACTTTTTTTCCGGTATATTTACCGATTTTTTTCGGGAAAAAAAAGGATAGCTGGAAATTTATGCTAAATAAAGGATATTATTTTAAAGAATTGGTTAAAGCAACCCCCCGTTACGAGCAAAAAACCTTAACGCGCCGCCAAATATACGGTATTATTCCAATCGCCCCCGTTTTTAACAATAACCGCAAGCTATACGGTACATATAATTTCGTAATATTTTTGGATATAACGTGGTTCACAAGCGAGTCGGTCACACAAGCGAGTCGATCACTCGAAATTACGTGTTAAACGCGATTTTGATACCTTTGTTAATTCCGCCAATTTAAGCCCAAATTTGACCAAATTTTAACAGGTTATATTTAATTACGTAGCCGATTTTATAATGAATTAGTGACATTTTTACCATTACTCCTTTAGGGTTAGTTTTAAACACTGTGTAATATACTGTGTAAATATGCAAACTAACCTTAA